ATCCATCAACTCGTGCTGGAATTCTCTCCATCCTACCGCCACCGAACACACACTACGGTTTGATCGATAAAGTGGGCGTGCCTCCAGTAGCGGAATAAAGCCTGGTCCAGGTACCGTGCAACCGGCGCAGGAAATGAGGAATATCGATGTATTCGGAATCATTGTACTGCACTGAAAACTGCAAGAGAACCAGATTCGAGGAACAACTCGCAGTGGAATCGGTACAGGCACCAAGTCATTATATGGCTACCTCAGGCGAAGAATTGACTTTCGCCAAAGATGGGACACTAGCCGAAAAAGATGAGGACAAAACGGGGATGGTGGCATCACACTGTGCCTCAGTGTACACCCCAGACTTCAGCCCATTGGCACATTTACTGGACACTGACACTGCTCTGACCTGGACTCCATTTACCATCGGAAAGATGACCCTGGAGCTGCGTCTACTAAAGGTTCACCAGTCACCTAGATCTGATTATGTGCATCCCGCTGATCCTGAGGGAGCTGGTAAATGAACTTGCAGTGCTACCGCGCAGCCTGTTCAATTTGTCATTCACTCAAGGACGTTTACCGCGGCAGTCGAAGGATGCTTTCATTCTTCCACTTGCCAACGGTGGAGATAGGAGTGACCCTGGGAACTATCGACCAGTTAGCCTAACTAGTGTTGTGGGTAAAATAATGGAGCGCCTGGTGGCTGCACGGCTTCGACAGCACCAACAATACGGTTTCCCGCCGGGTCGCTCATGCTTCTCAAACCTGCTACTTGCCCGTGAATGCTGGACCGAGGACAAGGCCAAAGGACACGAAACGGACATCATCCTTTTGAACTTCAGCAAGGCCTTCGACAAGGTGCCTTCTGTGAACGTTGTCCAACCTAGGTGTAGGTGTGGTCATGCGGAATTGGCTGTGAGACTTCCTCATCGACCGGAAATTCTGCGTCCGCTTTGGCAAATCGCAATCTGCGTGGTATTCCGCTCCCAGTGGGGTCCCCCAAGGCTCGGTTCTGGGTCCATTGCTCTTTGTGATTTATTTTAAAGACCTGCCCGGACAACTGTGCAGCCCATCCCTCATGTATGCCGATGACATCAAAATCTGGCGTACAATCAAGGATTCGAATGATCGAAGTTCTCTTCAAATGGATTTGAACAACCTGGCTCAGTGGGAGGATACCTGGGCTCTTCCAGTTAACACAGCAAAGTGAGCTCACCTGCACTTGGGGCGTGCTGAATCAGAGGTAGCCTACAACTTCCAGGGAACCACATTGCGCAGAACATCGGGCGAACGAGACCTGGGTGTTATGGTGACGTCATCACTAAAGACCCGAGAAAACACCGATGGGGTCTGTGCTAGAACATGGAGCATTCTGAGGCCTATCAGGCGGTCTTTCAACCAGCTCACGGTGGACGCTTTCAGACTGCTGTATGCTTCCCATGTCAGAGCAAGACTTGAGTACGGTGGTGCGGCGACATACCCCTGCCCGGTCGCTTAACCAGCTAAGTTGGAGCGTCTACG